GCTCTGGATTGTTTTGTTTTTTGTCTTTTTGAGACAGGGTCTCACCGTGTAGTTCAGGCTGGCCTTGAGCTCACTTTGTAGCCCAGGCTGGTCTCGAACTTGCAATGATCCTCCTGCCTCAGCCTCCCGAGTGCTGGGATTACAGGCATGCGCCACCACGCCAGGCCTAACCAACTCTGGATTGAACTGATCTCAGTGAAGATTTCCCCTTCAAGGGCTCTGGGGCTGTGGTTTTCAAACTGGCTGAACACTGGATCCTTGAGGACTTTCAAAACACACTTGTGCCAGGCATGGTGGCACAGGCTTGTAATCCCAGATCTGGGGAGGCTGAAGCAGGAGGATTACAGCAAGTTCGAGGCCAGCCTGGGCTAAATAGAGAGTTCAAGGCCCGCCTGAGTTACATAGTGAGACTCTGTCTCAAAAAACCAAACCAAACCAAACCAAAACCAACCAATCAACGAAACAAACAAAAAACCTGAAAACAAGATGAACAGACACCCTCCCCCAGTAAAAAAAATCACTGGTGTGCTGGCTCCACCCCCAGTGGTTCTGATTTGTCCAGGGTGTGGTTTGGGCCTTGTTGCTGGGGTGATTTCAACGTGTGGCCAAGTTTGTGGGCTTTACTCCAGGACTGTACACGCCACCGAGCCAAAGCAAGGAGTTGGAGGATTAGAAGGGCCACAATTTAAATGACCGAAGAGCCCATAGTAATAATTGGAAGAAGCAGGGACCACGGCCGCCCCTCCTTGCACGGCCTTGGCTCCCGCTGGCCTCCCTTTTCCCTCAGTTGACGCTTCTGGCCTCTGACCTGCAGCCCCGCTCCTCTCTCTGCGTCCGCCCCCACTCTGCCCTGGAGGTGCCCTGGCCCCTTGGCAGGTGCAGTGCTAATGCTTACCTGGGTTTCTGATCTCGTGGCTCAGCTTCTTCAGCTTGTTCAGCTCTGGCAGGGAAGGGCAAAGAAGAAAGCAGCACGAATGAAATACCTGTGTCCTGGGGGACCGTGGGCGCCACCCCGGGGTCCCATGCCGGGTCAGTCCTGAGAGACCCCTCGGCACTCTACACTCGGAATCACTGCTGCCCAGGGGCTGTGGGTGAGACACTGAGGGAGGGGACGCTGGGACTGATCCCGGCCGCCCCGGGACTGCCCATCTTTGCTGTCTGTCAAGGCCTGGGCCAAGCCCCACCCCTAGGCAAGCACCTACTGTGTGCCAGGCTGCGTGTGATCTCAGTGCCGTCACACAGTGTGGTGGGCTGAGCACCCTGTCCGCTGCTGGCCACTCCAGCCCCAGGGGGCCCTGAGCCCCACTGTCAACTGAGGTCCCACCCTGCAGGAGTCTCCAGGGCGCCCGGCAGGGAGCGGTGCCCCGTCTGCTCACTACCTCTTTCCATTGGGTTTGTGTGCCCTGCCAAGCTGAGCTCTGGACTGACGTGAGTGTCCGGCACATGGAAAGTGCTCTATAAATACTCATTGGAGGGGTGGATTGGCAGGGTCCAAGCCCGCCTCCTTTTTTCCAGATAAAGCCCGGAATCCTTAGTGTGATGAATCTGGATTCAAGGACAGCAAGCACCCGTCACACAGAAACAGAAAACGGACCCCATCACTTTCGAGGATGGCTTTGGTTTGCACAGAATAACGTTTGTGTCTGTATAACAACATCGCTTCAGAAGGGGCCACCAGGGGTCCAGTCACCCTTTATACAGATGAGGAAACTGAGGTACAAGGGGTGACATGACTTGCCCAAGGTCATGAAGCCAGGAAATTGAGAACTGGCGTTGTAACCCAGTCTCTCTGGCCTTTGCTTCTTAGCAAAACCCAGGAGCGATGAGCTGGGGAGACCGTGGGGAGGGGCTGTCCCTGTTGCTATGGAGACGGCAGAGAGCCTGTCCTGGTCTTGAGCAACGGTTTGGTTTCATGAATTCATTAAGTGCACAGGCGCCTTCAGACACGGCACCCTTCTCTGCTTGGCCACAGCCTGGACCACGCCCTCCTGACAACTGCCACTCGCAATTCGTTATCACCCTTGCACCCTCATTCTTCTTAGGCTAAAGAAGGAAATAAAATAATTCAGGACAATTTGCTTTTGTCAAAACTGGGAAAATTGCCAGGCGTGGCAGCACACATCTGGAATCCCAGCACTCGGGAGGCTGAGGCAGGAGGATCCTTGCGAGTTTGAGACCAGCCTGGGCTACAAAGTGAGCTCAAGGCCAGCCTGAACTGCATAGCGAGACCCTGTCTCAAAAAAAAAGGACAAAAAAAAAAAAAAATCATTACAAAAGTGGGAGAATGAAAGAGAGGTCAGGAGGATGGGAATTCCACCAGGCAGGGATTTTTGCCTGTTGAGCTCTAGTGTAACTTCCGGGGCCGAGGACAGGACCTGGACTAAGACAGGTGTCCACTGGGTGTTTATTGGTTGTCTGAATGAATGCGTGGTGGCTGAGGGCTGCTCCTTTTCGGCCGTTATGGGCATTTGGGTTTGGGCCCAGGACTGCGGTCTGTCTCCAGGGGGAGGTGGCGGGGGCAGGCCCTTACCGTCCTCTGTCAGCGTGTGGCTTGCAGAGATGTCTTCATCGGCGTCCGTGACTACCACTGAGTAGGTGCCCAGGTCCTGAAGGTCAGGTTCTTTCAGGATGACCTGGGACCTGGCACAGAGAGGAGAGCAGGGGCTCTGAGCGGCTCCTCGGCCTGAGCCGCCCCAGGCCCCAGCCAAGGCGGGAAGCAGGGCAGTCCCTCCTCCCCCTCACTCACTTATTAACTTCATCCTTGACCCAGACCCTCTGGGGGTCCGGCGGACCCTTGTAATCCTTGGACCACTGAAATTCTGAGTCGTCGGGGGCCTCAGGGGCTTCGAAAGCCAAGTAGATCTGGCCTTCTGCATCCACACCAACCTTGATCTCGTGGGCATCTGGGGGCGAGATCCAGCAGGGCACCAGACGTTTATAAACAGTAAACCCGCCTCCCCGCAGGCCCTCCCGTGGCTGCCCCTGCACCGAGTAACAGTACGGACCAGACCCCTTCATGTGGCCTGCAGGGCCTTGCCTGATCTGGCTCTTTCTCAGCTCAAAGGTCACCTCCTCTGAGAAGCCCTCCCCGCCTGCCCCGGCTGAAGTTTCCCAGCACGCCATGTCTTATTTCCTCTGCAGTGTTCATCGCTGTCTTAAATCACTGCTTCACAGGGCAGTTTACTTCCTCACGTCTGTCCACGCCCTGCGCCCTCTTCCTGCTATTCCCGGGGCAGGGCCTGCTTTCTCCTTCACTGCTGGACCCTCACTGAGAGGTGGGCACTGGTAAACGATGTGGAATGAATGATTAAAAAAACAAACCCCAAAAGGCAAGAGGCCATCAACCCTACATACAAGGGACGCTCCATCTCGGGTCCCGTGGACAGGCTTGGGCTTGGGGACAGGGGGAGAAGCCAGCGGGGATGGAAGACACAGCTGGAGGAAGCTGCAGGCTGGAGCAGGTGGGGGAAGGCCCTGCGCGCTCCGTTCTGCCTCCGCACTCTGCAGGCTTCTCTCGGCTCCCTCCGAGCCCAGCAGGGGAGCCCCCCCCGCCCGCCCGGGCCCCCTACCTGGCTTGTCCTCCAGGAGCACAGGGTCAGTGGGCATCGACGGCTGCCCCAGCCCGGCTGAATTCATGGCCTGCACCTGGAACACGTACCTCTTCCCCGTCTCTAGGTCAGACACCTGCAGGCGGGGCGAAAGCCAGCACTGAGGACACCGAGGGTCACTCCCCTGGGCCCCAGCTGGGTGCAGGAATAAGCCCAGGCTGCCCTGGGGCCTGGGGCAGGAACAGAATGCATGTCCCTCCTCAGTTCCAGGTTTTAAAAGTTTTTGAAAGATTTGAATTATGCGGTACTGGGGATTGAACCTAGTGCCTCTGCACTGTTACAGCCTTTTTTTTTTTGAGACAGGGTCTCGCTAAGTTGCTGAGTCGCCCAAGTTGGGCTCCATCTTGCAATTCTCCTGCCTCAGCCTCCTAGAGGTTCTGGGATTACAGATATTCACCACCATGTCAGGCTCGGAGTTCCGGATTTGTAACGAGCCTCTGCTTATCTCCCAGCCACTGGCACCCGGCAACTGCATGAAGCTTAACTCAGCCTCCTCTGTTCCTGAGTCCCTTGTGTCCCCCTCTGTTCCTTCTTCTCCCTCTCCCTCCAACAGCCAGAGGCAGGCCTGGGGTCATCATTCTGGATGTTCTTTTTTTTTTTCCCCGGTACTCGGAATCGAACTCATGACCTTGCACTTGCCAGACAGGTGCTGTGCCGCTGAGCTAAATCCCCAGCCCCCTCTTTTCTTTTTTTTAGACAGGGTCTCACTATGTAGTTCAGGCTGACCTTGAACTCATTAAGTAGCTCAGCCTGGCCTGGAACTTGCAGCAATTCTCCTGCCTCAGCCTCCCGAGCGCTGGGATTTCAAGTGTGCATCTCCATGCCCAGCTTGGATGTTCTTTTCTTGAGCTGTCCTTACCCAGTCAGCAAGTTCTGCCCATTTTATTTCCCTTAGTTTCCTGCATGTGGGGCCACACCCTGAGTGAAGCCTTATTTCTCTCTCCTCAACTGGTCAAGTTTCTGCCCTGGATCCCTCTCCAGTATGGTTTTCCCTCTGTCAATCTGATTATGCCTTCATCTTTTAATGACTCTCAGAGTCAAGGTCACATTTGGATGTTTAGAACCTAGGGTCTTCTAATCTGCCTTAACCGTCCCTCCTCTTAGTACAATTGCCCGGCGTGGTGGCACACTCCTGTAATCCCAGCACTCAGGAGGCTGAGGCAGGAGGATCGTTGCGAGTTTGAGGCCAGCCTGGGCTACAAAGTGAGCTCAAGGCCAGCCTGAATTGCATAGCAAGACCTTGTC